TATATATATATATATATATATATATATATATATATATATATATATATATATATATATATATATATATATATATATATATATATATATATATATATACGGGCCCTTACGGGTAAGGTTTGAAGTTAGCTTGTTGGGCCTATATTTTGATTAGCTTTGGATTATTGGCCGAAATGTTGCACTGGCGCACTATTTGGTCGCCCACATTTAACCTGTACCCACTTTTTAAATTTTTTTAACTTGCACCCACTTTTTAAACAACTTCAGGCCTTTTTCTCCACTTTCTTCTTCTTCTTCTTCTTCTTCTTCTCTGGGTGACTGTGATTTTATATGTTGTTTGTGAACATATTTTAAGGTTGTTTATGATATTTTATAGTGATGATCTGTTGTGGCGCTTTATTTTTTACTATTGCTTAGGATTTCTTCCTCTTTTTTTTATTAATTGTAAAATGGGTTCGTTAGTTAATTGTTGTTTTGACAAATTGATGGTTGGGGTTTGTTCTTGATGATATTTGGAGGTTATGTTTCAAAATTGTGCTCATTTGGAGTAGATTTAGGTATTAAATTGCATATTGGATTGTTAAAATTCGAAGAACAAATTTATGTTTCTTGGCAATTTGTACTTTAGGCCTATTTGGCTTTAAGTGCATGAAAACGTTGGTTGCACTTCATACCTTTTGGCCTTAAGTGCATCTGAAGTGCAATTTTTTACTTCAGACTTATTGTTCTTAAGTGTAGGAAAACGTTTGTTGCACTTAAGACCTTTTGGCCTTAAGTGCATCTGAAGTGTAATTTTTAACTTCAGACTTATTGACCTTAAGTGCATGAAATCGTTGGTTGCACTTCAGACCTATTTGGCTTTAATCTGAAGTGCAATCTTTTTCACTTCAAACTAAATTTTTTTAACCTCAGACCCGATAAGTCTGAAGTTGATCGTAAAGTGGGTAGGCTTGCAAATTTTTCTGCAAAGTGGGTATATGTTTAATTGTGACCCCAAAATCGGGTATAAATGCAAAAGCCCCGTTATTGGCAAGTTAGGTTAGAAATGCCAAAATTTCACGGTATAGCCAGTTTTCGGACTGGTCAATCAAAAATAGCCAGCATTTACCAAGTCAATGAAAAATAGCCACCGTTTTGCTGCAATAGAGACCGGTCCAGCATAATATACTGGAGTTTCGGTGCACTTGTGTATGAACTCCAGTATATTATGCTGGACCGGTATACTTTGCTGGCTCCAGTATAATATACTGGAGACTGGAGTACTGGTGCTCCAAACTCCAGTGTATTATACTGGACCATTATACTTGCTGGAACTCCAGTATATTATGCTGGAGTTCTAGTGTATTTATGCTGGAACTCCATCATATTATGCTGGAGTTCCAGCATACTATCCTGGAACTCCAGTATAATATGCTGGAGTTCAAGTATACTTATGCTGGAACTCCAGCATAATATACTGGAGTATTTTCCGGGTTTTGAACAATGTTTTCGCTCAGATTTATCTTTACATAAAAAGTGGCTAAATTTCGATTACTTTTGAAATTGGACTATTTTTGAACGACCAGTTGTAAATCTGGCTATTTTTAAAGATCTCCCTTAAAAATTGATATGCAAGTGATCCAAATGGCCCAATGTTTAATGGGCGGTGCAAAACTGGATAATGACACTTAACTAATTGTTTTGTCAAGAAAATTCACTAGGCATAACATTACTTGATTTTGATACATAATGATGAAGCAAATATCCTTTAGACGTCTAATGTAGTTTGACCAACTTCAGCATATTATTTATCTTCTCTGTAAACAGTATATTAATCTAGCTATAGACAATTACAGGTAATTGACTTTTAAATAATTTAACGGTACAAAAAAATTACTTTATTCAAACGTGAAAGTTAAAGTGTTAATAATTCTATTAAAAAAAAGTGATTGGCCCACTAAAAGAGGAAAATCGCTTCGTACAAAAGGAATTATTCCAGATCCGTGAAGTGTAAGATCCATTAAAAAAGGGAGGCACTCCATGCTAAAGGAAACTTTATATCAAAGGCTTAAAACCCGAGACTTCTGATTAAAAACAAAAGATTCTTATTCATTCCACGTAGAGCCGTTAATATGAGCTTGGCCCGTTGGGCCGGCCCAGCTCAGCCCGTGATTTAACAGGGCTGGGCTAGAATTTTTTGAGCCCATTTGAAAATGAGGCTTTTAAGCCCGGCCCGAGTAAGCCCGTGGCCCGTGAGGCTTGACTGAGGCTGGGCCGGGCCGGGCCGTGGGCCTAATAAAAATACGTATTTAAAATATATAAAATATAAAAAGTAAGACACAAAAATAACAAGAAGAGTATCCCAAGCTTAAAGTTCATTAAGCTCATCATATTAAAAGATCAAAATCTTAAAACGTTAATTAGTTTTAAAAATTTGTAATTATTCTTAATATTTAACTAATTAATATTGCAACGAATTGTAGATGTAGATGAAAGTGAAGATGTTAAGACAACCTTCTCACAAGCGGATTCAAATGTATTTGATGAAGATAATGTGTTGGATATCCCATAAGTGTCATGGACGTTCTCTTGAATAGTTTGTTTTGAGTTTTGACTTTTAGTGAATGAAATAATCTTGTCTTTTACTTTTTTTAGTGTTTATTACTCCCTCCGTTCCAATTTATGTGAACCTATTTGACTGGACACGAGTTTAAGACAAAAAGAAGACTTTTGAAATTTATGGTTCTAAACAAGTCAAAAAAGAGTCCAGAGTATTTGTGTTGTTATAAAAGTTTCTCATTAAGAGTAAAATTGGAAGTTTAAGCTAAATTATTTCCAAATTAAGAAAGGGGTCATTCTTTTTGAAACGAACCAAAAAGAAAATAGTGTAAACTGGAACGGACAGAGTATAATATATTCGAACAATATAAAAAGTTATAAAGTTTTATGAAATTTTTCCAATAAGATTTTTTTAACTTTTAAATATTTGTCTTTTTTTTTAGGTTAGAACTTAAAAAAATATATAAAAATTATATTTTAAAAAATAATGTGCCGGCCCGTGGGGGCCCGCAGCCCACATAGGACTGGGGTGGGCTGGCCATTATAAGGCCCATCAAAATGGTGGGCTAACACAGCCCGTCAATTGTTAAAGCCCACATAGGCTGGGCTGAATTAGCCCGGCCCCGCCCATATTGATACCCCTAATTCCACGACAATCTTTGGTGATAAGTAATTGAAAACTACAAAATGGACGTGTTAGCTATTCAACCGTAGATATATAGTGTCGTAGAAAGAGTAGTAAGCAGAGTTGGCAGGATACAAAGTGGATTTGATGGAACTATTTTGCCTTCTAGCCAAATTTAGACAAGTGTTTAATTAACGAAATTGACTTATATACCTGTCTTTCTTTTGTTTTTTTCTCTTTTTGGATAATTGAACGACATACAATTTCAGTATAGAAAGGCTCTTTCCGATAGATCCTCAACTTAAAAAAACATAGTCACATTATAATTGAAAAAAACAGTAACAAAAAGCGGTGACTTTCTTCTTACTTCAACCGACGAATTTACCAGAGATATTTATGTGAAGATGACTACAACAACAAGAGTGGGTTGCTCTAGTGATGAGCACCCTCCACTTCCAATCAGGAAGTTGTGAGTTCGAGTCACCCAAAGAGCAAGGTTGGAGTTCTTGTAGGAAGGGATGCTGAGGGTCTATTGGAAACAGCCTCTCTACCCTAGGATAGGGGTTAGGTCTGCCTACACACCCTCCCCAGACCCCATACTAGTGGGATTATACCACTTGGAGTGACTCGAACTCACAATCTCTTGGTTGGAAGTGGAGGCTCTCACCACTAGAGCAACCCACTCTTGTCTATGTGAAGATGACTAAAGTAATATTTCGGCTTCGCCGCGACTAATAAAAGGAGATAAATAAAGAACATCTCGCCTCAATATAAATCAACCACGCCTCAATCCCAAACAAATTTGGATCAGCGATATACTGCTAAAATAAGAAGACTAAAATGCTGATAATTACAAGGAAAGGAATGAAAGAACAAATGAAATACTGCTATAAGCTTAAACTGAACAAGCTATTATTCATCAACTTTACCCCTTTTTATCTTTCACTAAATAATGAGAACTCCACTTACATTTTGAAACTTTAAGCTAAGATAATATAAACATTCCCATCCCCTCTACAATCCTAATACTTAGTATATTCTAAATCATCCCTTAAAAGACTTATGGCCACTGATTGGCAGAATAATTGTATGATAAATTATGCAGTTTGACTTCAGTGACAATTTGATTCTGGAATTCCTTCATAACCATAGGGATTCTTACTAGCCCAGTTCCACTGATCTCTGCACATCTCTTCGATGCCATATTTCGCCCTGCAACATAAGTCAGACTGTTTAGAGACGAATCCAGGATTTAAAGATAGTGCGCGCATCTATTAATACACGTGTATTTTGTAAAAAATTCTCTCGATCTTTTATATTCATATATATTCTGAGTTTGGGATGAAGGTAACATATGCACCCATTGCTTATATGTTGGAACGGCCTATGCTATCGATGTGTTAAGAACCTTAAAATGCAATGTAAACAGATCACTTAGTTAACTACATTTTGCATGAGTATATAGTTGCAAATGTCACTTACTTCCACTTTAATTCGCGTTCTGCTTTCTCTGTAGCAGCGTATACAATTTCAGCATCCCCAGGCCGTCGACCAGACATCACCAATGGAATTTTCTAAAAGGAGCACAAAGAGAGGTAATTAGTCCACCACCATAAACATTCATAAAGGCCTTTACAACAAGTAAAAAGTTGCAGAATTAGCAAAGTCTTTCCCCACAAAGAGGCTGAAAAAGAAAAATGAATATCACTCGGTGATGAGATGGAAAAGAACTAACACTCGTCTAAGCCTTCGTACATAGAGTTACCCGATTCAGTGTCCTGGTGGGAAGTAGCAGGCCTCCAGCAGATTAGTCGAAGTGCGCCTAAACTAGCTCCCCCCCCCTCCCCCCCCCCCCCCCTAAAAAAAAAAAAAAACCAAAGAAGAAGAAGAAGAGGAGGAGGTAGCACTTGTATGGAAACACTAGTAACCACAAAACAGCCTCACAGCTTAAGGGTTCAGGAAAACCGTTGTTGGCATCAACCGTGAAATCCTTTCCTCCGCCGTCGAGAGGAAATGGAAGTGCTGCATTATACCATTTGAGTTTTTGCAGGAACATGCTACTAACTCACAAAATCAAATGACAAATCATTCCAAATAGGAAGACTGAGTAAACCAGGGAGTGTGCATTATCCTCAACAAGAATCAGAATATAAGCTTGCAAAGGCGGACTTAACGATATAAGTATAATGGAAGAATGCAATAAAAAGACTACCTTTCCTGATGCCTTCTCAAATGCAGCCACCATTTCCAAGACTGAAGTTCCTTTTCCGGTTCCCAAGTTGTACACTTCACAGCCTAAAAGAATCGATCAAAATCAGCATAGCACAACAACTCGAAAATGAGCCAACGTTAAAATATTAAACTATCATGATAAAAACTCTGATGTTTCTTCCATAATATGACTTGTATGGAAGATCTGTTCTACTGCCATGTTAATGACAGGGGAACATAAAGCAGAAAGAAGCACGCATTATTATGATTGAAAGAAACATTGTGATTGAAAGAACATGAATCCGAAAGGACACTTTTCAAGTACAGTTAAGAACTTTAAACGCGAAAATAAAACAAGTAATACAAATAGAAGTACACACCTATGGAAGGATCGGATAGCTTCTGCAAGGCAGCTATGTGTCCATCTGCTAAATCCACAACATGAATGTAATCACGGACCTGAAAAACATAATCATTCTCTGAGGAAAAGCTCATATACGGGACAGTTATGACATTTTTGTCACATTTTGACAAACTACAAAAAGAAACCAGAAGCCCAGAACAATGAATCTGAACAATTTAATGTCAAAGCAGTAACTTATGGTATTGCTTGACATTTTTTTAAATGAATTTATACATTTAAAAGCTACATGAACAGTATTGCAAATCACAATGTTTTAATTAAATAATTCAAGAAGTGTTTGAAAAAATGTGGACATCTCAAATCATAATTTCTGTAATATAAAATAGGACGTAGGAATAACATTGGAAGTTTAAACATTTCTAACACAACTAAAGATTTGCTATTGAAAATACAGTCATACCCCTGTACCATCCTTTGTTGCATAATCAGTTCCATAAACTGTCAGCGCCGGTCTTCTGCCTACAGCAACTTGTTGAACAAAGGGCATAAGGTTGTTGGGAATTCCACGCGGATCTTCACCAATGTGGCCACTTGAATGAGCACCAACAGGATTAAAGTACCGCAGCAATATGATTTTCCATTCGGAGTCAGAGGATCGTACATCACGGCATATTTCTTCAATGAAGAGCTGACCATTTATTGAGTCTTGTTATATTATGAACAGACAGAATAAACAGAAACAGAACTCTTCAACCAATAAGAACCAAAAAAGTAAAACTACAACAAGAAAATAAAAGGAATATACAAGGCTTGCCCTCTTATCAGCAAACTAGACAGAAAAGCAGCCAAACTAGGCTACATTTCAGTTTTGAAATTCAACAACTTGAGCGCTGAATATGCGAGATGAAACAATTGAAAGTACCTTTGTCCGTCCATAAGGATTTGCAGCACTCAGGGGGAATTCCTCGGTACAAGGAACCTCTTTTGGCCAACCATAAACAGTAGCTGACGACGAAAACACAAGCTGTAGATATGGAGAAGAAAACCAATCAAGACATTTACTTGCAAGAAAAGTAGATGCATATTAAAAGTTCTCCAAAGTGCGAGGAATTACCCTTTTGCATCCATGTGCTGCCATGACTTCCAGCAGAGTAATTGTTCCTATAAGGTTGTTGTTAAAATACATCAAAGGTTTCTGGACACTTTCACCTACTGCTTTTAGTCCAGCAAAATGGATAACAGCATCAAATCTGCATCGAATACGTAATTGAAGGCAAACCAATGTATCAAAAAGTAATATATTTGAGCAAAAGAGTCACAATATGTTGATGCAGACATTAAACACTTATTCTCCATAGCTTTGTTTCATGTAAAAGAGTACATAATTCATGCAAACTGCTGATCAAATTGAGACTCAACACAGCAAATAAACTATCGCACGTACAATGTAACTACATATTAATCAATATTGAGGAAGTTCGAAATAAAAATCCAGTCTTATAATAACCACTGAGGCAGATTTTTTTTCTTTTTGTGAGGGATGATAGAACTTACTTGTTAGACCGGAAAATCTCCTCAATTGCAGGCTTATCACGTAGATCCACCTGCGTTATAAGACAAAACAACCATAGAATTCAGTCACAAACTTTTTAAAAAAATAGAAACAAGAAATCAGCTTAATCCTTGTAAAGTAAAGGTACTGTTATACAGGAAAACTATAATGAATTAAAGGCAATAAAGGCAAAGGTGTTCACTAAAGAAAATTTTACTGTGGCCTACACAATTATTACCACCAAGCAGAAAACACCAAACTAAACAGACTACTGAGAATAATTTGCACCCAAATTTCTGGATTGTTAACAGTTTGTCTACATATGGAAAGAAAAAAACAGTTTGACAGTTTGTTAAATGGAGAAAGAAGCACATGATACACCAGAAATAATTATTCTAACTTACAATTCAAAAAGAAACAAGAACACAGAGATTGACCACATACAAAAATTTTACTGATTAAACCAATTTCAGAACCTAATAAAAATCCAATCTTTACATTAAAAAAACAAAACCCAAAATTCAAATTCATACAATTCCACCTTTTTTCACAAACCCCAGAAAAATTCTCCTATGCTCATGGCATAAAATTCAAAGAGAAAAAAGAACAAAGAGATTGACCACCTAGCAACAGTATACTGACTCAAACAATTCAAGAACCCCATAAAAATCCAAAATTTACATTAAAATAAGAACCCAAAACTCAAATTCATACAATTCCACCTTAACCATAATAATTCTGAACACACACACACACACACCCATGAAAACGAAAAACAGAAAAATTCAAGAACCCCATAAAAATACAAACTTTACATTAAAATAAGAACCTATAACTCAAATTCATACAATTCCACCTTAACCATAATAATTCTGAACACACACACACACACACACACACACACACACACACACACACACAGACCCATGAAAAGGAAAAACAAAAAAATTCAAGAACCCCATAAAAATACAAACTTTACATTAAAATAAGAACCTATAACTCAAATTCATACAATTCCACCTTATCCTTAATAATTCTGAAAACACACACACACACAGACCCATGAAAAGGAAAAACAGAGAGAAGAAAAGTACCTTATGAAAGGAAAGGTTAGGGCCATATTGAGAAGCAAGTTCCTGAACCCTTTTGATAGCAATTTCAGAAGAATTATCCAAATTATCAATCACAACAGTTTTGTAGCCACCAAGCAGTAATTGCAACACTGTATGACTCCCAATATACCCTGCTCCCCCTGTCACCAATATACTCTTTGACATGATGATATATCCCAATTTAAAAAAAAAAAAAAAAACTAACTCCAACAATAAAAAGAAGAAGAAGATTTGGGTTTTGGTAAAAAAGAAGATATAAAATTCCAATCTTTAGTTATTGACAAGACTCAGACTTGAAACAAAGACTCCTAGTCCAAGCTTTTATAGGTGTAAAACCACGGTTATTTGCTAAAAAATAAAACTAAAAATTATTTTCTCCAACACCCTTTACTTAGTTGGGTTGAAAGAATTTTCAAGAATTATTAAGAGAGGAAGAAGAAGATGAAGAAGAAGAAGAAGAAAAGGGACACGTGTAGAGTAGGTCTAAAGTCTGATGGTGGCTTCAGAAAAAGTGTTTATATGGGGGATTGTGTCTAGACTTAGTAGGACTCTCTAGATTCTTGATTCTACTACTGTTAACTCATGATTAACCCAAGTACCAAAAATAATATAATGATTTTAATATTTTTTTCTAATATTTTATTCCACTTGTGTCAGTTTTAATGTATGATGACTAAAATTAAATCCGAGTAAAAAGAAGAATTATGGTAAATAATTTATTAATTTAAAGTAATCTAATTCTAGGAATACTAATTTGAATATATGTAATGGACCTTAATTCCTTAACCGGTTGAAATTGGTAAATAGTTGATTGATTAAAACTATTTTCTAAATATTTAGTTTCACGTATATTAATTTATTTATAACGCTTAATTATTTTTACATTTTAACCATGAAGATATGTAATCGAATGAATGGGATCCATATATTCTTAATCGGTATCTCGTGTTCGAGCCTTTTGGTTAAGCTATGAGTCCTGAGAGTGACCAATTTTTTTTAGTGAAAATAGCACGGGTTAGCTAGTTTTTGGACTGATAATTAAATAGTCAGCGTTTGTAAAGTTATTAAAAAATAGTCACTATTTTACTGTAATACGGAAAGCTCCAACATAATATACTGGAGATTGGTGCACATGTGTATGAACTTCCAGCATATTATGCTGGAATTCTAACACACGGAAAATTCCAGCATAATATACTGGAGATTGGAGCACCTGCTTATGAACTCCAATATATTATGCTGGACCAGTATATTATGCTGGAAGTCCAGTATATTATGCTGGAATATTTTCCGGATTTTGAACAGTGTTTTCGTTGAGATTTATCTTTACATGAAAAGTGACTAAATTTCTATTACTTTTGAAAATGTGGCTACTTTTCAATTACCACTTGTGAATTTGGCTATTTTTGAATTTAAAAAATAGCCAGATTTACAAGTGGTCGTTCAAAAATAGCCCAGTTTCAAAAGTAATCGAAATTTAGCTACTTTTCATGTAAAGATAAATCTGAGCGAAAACACTGTTCAAAACCTGGAAAATACGCCAGTATATTATGCTGGAGTTCCAGCATAATATACTGGAGTTCCAGCAAAGTATACCGGTCCTGTATAATATGCTGGAAGTTCGTACACAAGTGCTCGAATCTCCAGTATATTATGCTGGAACTTTCCGTGTGTTGGAGTTCCAGCATAATATGTTGGAAATTCATACACAGGTGCACCGAACTCCAGTATATTATGCTGGACTGGTCTCTGTTGCAGTAAAATAGTGGCTATTTTTCATTGACTTGGTAAATGCTGGCTATTTTTGAATGACTAATACGAAAACTGATTAGACCGTGCTATTTTAACATGAATTTGTATTAGTCTAATCAATGCTAGATAACTTAATGTGTAGCCCAAAGAAAACTAGCTTTCAAATGAATAAAAAGAAATATTACAGTACATAAATAATATTTTTAATAGTCTGATATTCTAAACTTTAATTCTGAAATTAACGAGGTACGTAATTGGTTGATTAAAATATTATGTAATATTTGTCTTTATTGTCTTTAATTCTGAAAATAACGAGGTGATAGTCACCTAGATTCCTGAAAATATATTTTTTATTTTCTTCATTGTTCAGTCCCATGATTTTTATTTTCTGTTAGCAGTTATTTTGGACCATATTTTATACAAAAAATCCAACATTGGAAGTTGTGGCGAAGGTAAAAAAATTGTTAATATGTGGTATGTTGATTTTCGAGGGGTATGTTTCCTTGTGTTCTTGCTTCTAGATTTCTCATTTTGACATTCTTGTTTTAAAAAAAATATAATATTTGACATTGTCTTTTTCTATTTGTTTTGGTTGAGTCATCAAGTCATTTTAATGTTTTGTTTTTTATGCAAATCTTATCAACAAAAACTGTAATCCTTTGAAATAAATGTTTTTCCTATTTATGTAAATCTTATCAATAAAACCAGTAATCTGCCGAAAGTAGCAACAAAACATTTTTTATTTATTATTCTTTAACAAACTTTCCTTACGTATGATATTATTTTGGCAGAATGGTTTCAATGCAAGTATATGATCATTTTTGGCGTTTTGAAATTCAATGCAGTTGTTAAAACATCATATGACACTATAAAAACAAAAAAGACGATATATATATATATATAGGGGCGGATCTACCTTAGCCCGAGCGGTGTCACGTGACACTGCTTCGTCGGAATTTTTTACTAAATAAGTATGTATAATAAAACTCCGACAGGAAAAATGAAGATAAATGTAATAAAGTGACACCACTTGATAACAATAGATGTGTAGCACAGTTGGTCAGGCGCTTCATTTTTCTTGAACTCTTATCTTAAGCATTAAGACATCTAAACCAATAGATCAAGAGTTACATTTGTATATTTAATTAATGCAATAATAAATTATTTGACCTGTATTATAAGTTGTTTGGCTATTTTTTTCTGCTCATTTTCTTTATCAACATTGAAATTGATTAATAACAATTTGCATAATCAAATGAATGATGAGTTTTTGTGTGATTACTTGGTGTTATATATATATATATAAAGTATTTAGTATTATTTAAAATAAGGTTATATTGAATATATTTTAAAAAATAAAAATTCATATTTAGTAAGATATTTGAGCTGTGTTCTATAAAATAATTCGAATTATATTTTTTTTAATATGATGTTATAATGAATTATTATTTGTTTACTGTTCAAAATTGTCACACCGCTTATGATAAATCCTGCGTACGCCACTGTATATATAACAAAATAGTATTATCAATTATTCTCAATAATTTATTAATTGGAGTCGAATATATGGATCATCGTTAAGAGAACTGATAATAATCGAATTAAAATTTTCAACTTTTATGTTAACTTATCATACCTTCATCTTTTATTCTTTTTGGGACTAACTATACTTTATGTAACTATAGACGGGATATCCTTAATATTTAAATGGTGTTAAATTTTCACATTTGTGGGCAAAGTAACATAAATAATATTGGTGACATTGTATAATCTTTTGTCAAGAGAATTTAGGCATATTCCAAAGAATTATTTGTAAAAGTTGGAGTCACATATCATGTTAGCATAATTTGTTACTGAAATGCGTTTTTTATTGCATTTTTTTTTTCCAATAAACGCATGAATTATAAAAGTTGGAGTCACACTAAAACGTTAGCATTTTAGTTACCAAAATGCGTTTACTATTTTTTTTTTTTTTCCTCTAAAAACACAAAGTACAGAATATTTTATGTTAACATTTGGTATTAAACTTCCAAAAGATAATAGGAATTCTCATAATCAGATTCCATATTGAAGCTTAATTTCAACGACAAGGATTTTAGAGAGCGTTAAGTATTCCGTCATCTTTATCAGAGGCCTCGGATAAGTACCCTTAATATGGGACTTCTAAGTCAAATTTGATTTTTTTTTTCCAGACTTTAATGTAGGCACTAAATACCGAACAGAAAACAAAAGACTTTCCCTCAATTTTTTTGATTATTATACAAATAGCCGGTTAGATTCAATATTTACTTTTTCTAATCGGTACACGTAGATTATATATTGATTATAAATAATTACATATTATATATTAATTATGCATATGTTATATATCTACCGATTATTTATAGTTTACAAGATTAGGTGGAAGCTATTTGGGTTAATTCTTTCTTTCTAGGTTTGGCAGTGGGGATGGTGGGCATAAATAGCAGAGGCTAGCCAGTTTTCGGACTGGTAATTGAAAAATAGTCAGCGTTTGCAAATTCATTAAAAAATAGCGACTATTTTGCTGCAACACGGAAAGTTCCAACATAATATACTGGAGATTGGTGCACCTGTGTATGAACTTCCAGCATATTATATTGGAACTCCAACACACAAAAAATTCCAGCATAATTTACTGGAGATTGGAGCACCTGTGTATGAACTTCCAGCATATTATGTTGGACCAGATACTGGAGTTCCAGTATAAATATATGGAACTTCAGTATATTATGTTGAAAATTCACATGTAAAAAATTCGAACTCCAGTCGGATTTTGAACAGTGTTTTCGTTCAAATTTATCTTTACATGAAAAGTGGCTAAATTTTGATTACTTTTGAAATTGTGACTATTTTTTAATTATCACTTGTAATCTGGCTATTTTTAAATTTCACTCGGATAAATAGTATGTTCAAAATTTAGCTGTACACATTGTGGTCCAGTTTGTTAAACAATTTGAGGGTACCACACCTATTACATGAATAACAACCAAAGATAATGTTAAAAGGAACTTTATCTTTTTGCCACATTAGCTTTATTCCAAAACAGAGTAAAAGTATGGTTTATCACATTCTAATGGGATCAAAATAGATTACTAATAGTAAAAGGCCAAAAGATTGTCTTGATGTACCCTACACTAAAAGGGGCAAAGTAAAGGGTTCCTCCTATATTAAAGGAATGTTTTTTTTAGCCCTAAGTTTTTTTTATCTTTGATTAAATCCCCAAAATTTAATTTTTCTAGTGACATACTATTTACTTAATTTGTTCTACTTTATGTGAAATAACTTCCTTATTAGTGCGTTGAAAAAGAACAATATCTTTATATATTTGAAAATAATTTATTAAATTTATTTCAGACTTAGTATATTTTATAGACGCCAAATCTCACGGTATATACAACAACAACAGAAATCCGGTGTAATTTTATAAGTGGAATCTGGAGAGATTAGCGTGTACGCAGACCTTACAGAGGCAGATTCAGGATTTAAGCTTTATGGATTCAACCTTCAAGAGTTTTAGCATTGAACCTACTTATTATATTTTTAAAGCTATGGGTTCATATCTATTATTTATTGGAATTTTAGTAATTTTTACTCATATATTTATGTTCCACTAGGGGTGGGCATCGGTCGGCTCGGTTCGGTTATGAATATTATCAGTTTAGCATATCGGTTATCGGTTTACAAATTTGATAAATCGATAACCGAACCGATAAGACATCGATTATCGGTTATCGA